TTAGGTGAATCTCTGGGCGAAGGGGTGTATGCAAACTGGTTTGCAAAGAACGTTGGCGGAACTCCCTGTGGGATACGATCCGTGTGAGGAGTGTGCCGGGATTGGCGAGGAAGCGCATGCGAAATGGCCCACTCAGGCCGCAGGGGGGGCTCCTCATGGGACTCTGCCGAAACAGATGCGACGACAGCAGCAACGGCAGCAGCGGCAGGAAGGGGAGAACGGGGAGAGGAGGAGGAAAAATCAGCGGCGCGGCGCAGCGGTGAGAAGAAATAACCAAACCGCACGGGAAGTTTCAGAAATATGCGTACGTGCAGCGGCGTTCGGCGACTTCCACGCAACACCAAAAAAGAGGTGGCTGTCGACCCCTCCCCTCCCCTCCCTCCCTACCCCTGTGCATTCCCGTGTGGAGGTTGGAAGCAGACTATCATCATCGGGTTTTCGGACATCGCCAGCGCTGACGCCAGCAGCCAGAGGTATAATGCAAAATGAGCCCTAGCAGGCCTAGCTGCTCTACTGCTAGTGCACAAGCGTCTGGCGGCCGATGTGTGAGCAAGCGTGTGGCGCCGCCGCCCTACACGACAGATTCTCTATCGAGGGCATCGCGCTCGTATGAGTATGTCTCGTACCGCTCGCGGTTACTGGCGAAGTGGCGAAGTAAGGGCTCGTGCTGTGGACGACCATGGCAATAGCAGTAGTGATAGCGCAAACGCCACCAGCGCCGACTTGCCCACTCGGGCGTGCGTTGATAGAACACCACGATGCCGAATGCCTGTCTCCTTCCATGTGAGGCCTGCGCGGACGGCTCGCCAACCCACATGTTCGATGCCAGCTCGGTTCCAACAGGCCGCCCTCTCACCATCCCCATGTGCCGCCCAAACAAGATCCAACGTATGGCGGGGCTCCAACAAAGGGATAACCCAAAGATCCTTTCTTCCATCTGATTTAGGAACGGGGGATCATGACACGACAAAGGGAACCCTAAGTGCCCATCACCTCTGGGCATGAAACCCCGTGTACGAACTACCATTGGAAAATGCTCGGGACAGGTGGGCATTCGTTGGAGGAATATTTGTACCGCCCTCGCGGTAGAAAGGAACGCACGGACTGGCCGAACTGTACGCGCAACTTCCTTGATCAGTCACTGGACATTCAGCACCTTGGCGCTGCACACTACCACGCAGATGCGGCTGCGTGCCGCGCACCTGCGCATGGATATGCAAGCACACTATGTGATACGTCTCCCTGATACGCAATCACGCACGGACGACGGTATGATGTTCGATCCCTTCGAGGGCACATGTTCGCACACTCGAATTTGTTCGAGATCAGTAAGGCCGATCTCCACCGAGAGCCTAATTCCAGTGCGTAGACATCAGAGGTGCCCCATGGATGCTAGAAAGGTAATTTGCTGAGCGACCATTTCGCGAGTAAATCCGCCGAGCCCCGCTTGCCAGGGGTGTCAAAGCGTGTGGGGTGGTTGGCCGTCCCCCTCCCCCGCTTCCCTTCCCTTGGAACCCACACTCGCATCAGGGGGGCGGGGGGGGCGGGGCGGGGGCCAGAGCTCGTCACCGCATCCGAGCGGCTCCTGGAGCCTCCACATGTACACTCCGCGGACTCCAAGATGCACAAGAGGCCAACTAAGCTGGCTCAAGCAGAGCTCCACCATGCCAAGGAACCCTCAACAACAATGCAAGATGGCTGCAAGACCGCCTAAGACGGCCCAATAGACTTCGAAGGCACTCCAAGAGGGCTCCAAAAGACCCCCATGATGGTTTCAAGGGGCAAGGACCGTCTCAATTCCTTGAAAGGCGTGTCCTGTTAGCATACTCGCTTTTAGTCCGAACAGCGTCCCCAAGACGGCTCAAGAGGTCCACTAGATAGCTCAAGCACCCCAAATCGCCCCTGAGAGAGCCTGGAAACAACCCAAGAGCGCCACGAGACGGCCTATGAGGTGCTCAAGACGGCCCAAGAGGACCCCAACAGGGCCCCAAGAGGGGTCCAAGGTGGGCATACTCGAATTGACATGTCGTGCCCTCCGCCCCAAGAGGTCCGCCGTGACCGCCAGCAGACGCCTATCAACCCCCAAGAGGACACGAAGGCCCCCAACAGGGCGACAGAGTGTCCCCAAGGGGCCCCGACAGGCCTCACAAGTGGACATCGTCCCTCTCCTGGTGGACCACTAGTGCGTGCGTCCTCCTCCTCCTCCTCCTCCTCCTCCTCCTCCTCCTTCTCCTTCTCCTCCTTCCCCTCCGATTCCTCCTCCTCATCATCCTCATCATCATCCTCCTCCCCCTCATCTTCCTCCTCCTCCTCCTCCTCCTCCTCCTCCCACGTCATCTTCGCCCTCCTCGTCGTCCTCCACCTCCTCCTACTCCTCCTACTCCTCTTCCTCCTCCTCCCCATCCTCATCATCATCCTCCTCCCCCTCATCTTCCTCCTCCTCCTCCTTCTCCTCTCCCTCCTCCTGGTCCTCTTCTCCTCACGGCATGGGCCGACGCTTCGGGCGAATGGTGATGCGGGGGAGGGGAGAGCTCTGTCGGTGGGCCCTGGCAGGGATAGCGCCCCCCCTGCCAGGGAACAAAAAGACAAAACGTTATCCTTCGATGGGCCCCCCCCCCAGTTGCCCCTCTATCCCCTAACCTTTCCCTTTATGGTCAGTGAACCTCCTTCTCCTCCACCCTGTCTCGTATCCCTATGCCGTCCTCATTCGTGGCATCCTGATTTCTCAGCGCCCCCCCCCCCCCTACAAAGGAGACTCTGCAGAATCACCCATGCACGCCGGAAAACGCCCAAATACCATCTGGGTGCTATGACACCCGTCCGTGTTCTTCTGTGTCGCCATGTTTATGTGATATTATGTGGGTGAGCGGAACTGCGCAATCCTCTTGAACACAACTTGCCCCCGCTTACGGCAACGATAAGCAAGTCTAGCCAGCTTTGACTTAATGCCATGTCAAAGACGCGCGGGCTGCCCATTGCACAGCTCCCAGATCGATATGTATATATGTATATATACATATATACATATGTATATATGTGTGTGTGCGTGTTACGCAGCACTCCTCTCCACCGCATCCGTTGAGATGAACACGCACCCTCACCGACTGGCATACAAAGGCAAAGCGCACTTTGTGCGCATACAGGAGGCCCCCAGGATCTGGGCCTGGGACTGTGGCTGGCAGCCTCTCACAGGTTTTGCATGTGCGGCGTCGCACTCGTCGATCATGTGGGCCTTCTCGGAGCCGCATGGAAAGGCACCATCGGGTGCGGGAACAGCTCCTGTACGGCGCGCGTTCGGCTGTCTGGAGGGGTTAAGAGGAGGCGTGAAACCCTTCTCCGTGGCAATCTCCCGTTCTACGTGAAGGAGAGCAGTGGCTTCAATGCCTTCTTGAAGGACAGTTTTCTTGCTCGCGATGAGGGCACCCAGGACACAGAAACTTCTCACCGCACACCTACATATATCTAATGTGGGTATGTATGTATGCATACATGTGTGTACGTACTTAAGTATGTATGTCTGCAGGCATGCGTGCATGCATGCATGGATGGATTGGTGGATGTGTAAGTATACATATATGTACGTATGCATGCATGCATGCATGCATACATGTATGTATGTATGTATGTGTGGGTGTGTGTATATGTGTGTGTGTGGTTGTGTGTATGTATGTGTGCGTATGGTTGTATGTATGTGAATGTGTGTATGTATGCATGCATGTCTGCATGTATACATGTATGTATGTATGTATGCATGCATGTATCTATGTATGTATGTATGTATGTATGTATGTATGTATGTATGTATGTATGTGCATGTTTGTATGGATGTGTGTATGCATGTATGTATGTATGTATGTATGTATGTATGTATGTATGTATGTATGTGTGCGTATGTGTATGTGTGGATGTGTGTATGTATGCATGTATGTGTATGTATGTGCATGTATGTATGTGTACGTATGTGTATGTATGTGTATGTATGTGTATGTATGTGTATGTATGTACGCATGTATGTATGTATGTGTGTTTGTGATTGTGTGTATTGCCCACTGCGAGCAGCGTCAGCCAAAGAGCACCCGAATGTCCTCACGTATGACGCCACCGTGCGAAGTTGGCTGAGAAGAAAGCTGTGCAAAAAAGATGGAGGACATCGGCGGTGTGCAATATAGAACGCACAAGTCCTCCGAGGGCAATGGAGCGCGCTTCTGGCGACGCACTCTAACCCTTCTAGGCCCCGATGCGGAGAACGCATTGAAAATCGACAACTCTCAACATAACCATCATTAACGAAAAACGGCCGGGGCCCGCTAGACTCTACAATCCATCATGTCTCTCCGATCCCACTAAGCTGCCTTCTTCTAGCCCTCGCCCACCCCTCCATCCACGGGCGTCCTTCCTTCCTACCTCCCTCCCTCCCTGCCTCCCTCCGCCCTTCTCTACCATACGTCCTCAGTACTCAAACACAAACGAACTATATGCAGAGGCGAGGGGCGCAGGACTTCGTTTCCGTTCCTCCCTCCCGGCCCTACCTGGGACCGACCCGTCCTTCGATCCCACGGCCTCTCCGCTGCGACTCTGCAAGGGAGCGTGCAAGAACACGGTGCTGAAGCCAACGACTAGGAGCCGTCTAGGAGAGCTCTTGTGCGAAGAAGCAAACGCGCTTCTGTACGCGAAGAGAGAGAGAGGGAGAGAGATGGAGGAAGAGAGAGGGAGGGCGGGAGAGAGGGAAAAAGAGAGAGAGAGAGCACGACATAAGTGTATGCACATTTACTTCGGAAGAGAGAGAGGGAGGGGAACACGTGCTTAAAGTAAGAGGGGGGGGAACACGCGGTTCCAGTAACGTCTCAAGGGTGCTGCGAGACTCATAGGCCAGGTACAATCACGCAATCGAGAAACTACAGCATAAATAGCGAACCATATCTTAGCACGAACGTTGAACATCAAAGAGAATTAGCTCTGCGACTCCTTCAAGGGCGAAAAGCGGTCCGCGGGGTCGCATCTCATTTTGAGGTCAGGCTTGAATAATCCTGGCGGATTTGCAACATGAGCTGCGCCATATTGAAACTGCACCACTTCACACGTGACAAGCTCCATCCATCATGTTCTGCCCCGCCCTGTACTGTCAAATTCGTCTGGGCCAAGGTTAAGCATTGCCTGAAGTATGATTGACGGTGCCACAATCAAACAGACTGCAGTGCTGCGCGCGCACGAGAGCCGCTTGACATGCGTTTTGGTCATCGGCGCTCTTCTCGGCTCCAAGACGGCCCAATACCGCCTCACGGCGGCTGCAAGACGCCCCCAGACCAGCACCAAACAGCTCAAAGGACCTCCTGAGCCCGAACGCCAAGAGACTCCAAGACGGTCCAAGAGGCGTCGAAGAAGCCATCTAGCACGGAGCTGGGGGGCAAAAAACGCTCGAAACATCAAAGACGCATATTCAACAAGACAAAGTACCTCGGGAACGTGTCGACTTAAGATGGCATCAGCACGGCTTCCGAGAGGCCCTAAGACGGCCCAAGGGGAACCCACGAAGCACCGAAGACGGCCTCAAGACGGCCTCAAGACGGCCTCCAGTTCGATTGGTCTACATATATCTCATGATGCCTGTATGTGAGACGTGAAGGACCAAGGTACATGGCGCGAAGCGCCATTGGACCTTCCATATGTATGTATGTATGTATATATGTATGTATATTTGGACACGCGGACGGTTGCACATCCAGACCCACGCCCGACTAGCTCCACCACCCACGACTAGCCCAACAAGCCACTGCCACTAGAAAGCGCCAAGGGTTCCGATTCCTGGGTCGCCAACGCTGGCTCCGGACAGTAGCCCTTCCTCGCCCGTACCAGCCCCCGCCAACGCTGGTTCTCGACACCTGCCCATACGAGCAACTGCCAGCCCCACTAGCCCGTCACCAATGCCAGTTCCGGACGCCTACTAGACCCCTGCGCCCGTTTAGCTATGATGGCGCCAGAACCTGTTCACAATCGCCGCCAACGCTGGTTCCTGTCACTAGCCCCCAATCCTCGACTAACCTACTGGAACTGCTCGGCGCCAACGCCTGTTCTGGACACTTGCCCACGCAAGCCCAACACGCACTGATTGTCTGCGCTGGTTCAGGACACCAGCCACTACCAGTCACCAGCCCTCACTAGGTATACTTGCACTGACTGCCATGAAGCTGGCTCTCGATCTCTGCCAGCCCCCATGAGCCCAAGTATCCCTGACTGGCGACAACGCAGATTCCCAACAGTATCCCCTGCTATCGCAGCACATGTCCCCACTGTAGACCCCTTGGACCCACCAGCTCTGACTGAAGCCAGCCATAATTCCCGAGACTGACCCCTTCTGGTCCCTGAAAGCCCCAGAAACACTGGGTGGCGCCAGTGCTGGTTCCCAACACTCGACTCGACAAGCCCCCAAATGCCTAACCTTACGAGCGCGATTCGGAATGCACGCGCCGGCCTTAACTTCTCGTTCTCGAAAAAGGGGAGGAGGAGCAGAGGGAGGAGGAAGAGGAGGAGGGGAAGGAAGCGCCCATGATTGCGTTACACAAGCGTCTTCAATCTCCGTTCGAGCTCCAGCTGCTCGCAGGCGACCCCGCACTCCCAGGGCCACAGCAGAAGACGCAATGGCGGAGACGGAGATGGAAGGAGACGGCGATGGAGGGCGATGCTATGTTCACAGAATGCGAGAAGGGAGGTCAGGGTCAGGAAGAAATGCAACGTCGCACGAGGTGTGCAGCGCAACATCCACAGCAGAAGCAGATCATCGGATCGCTCCCTTGTTGAACCATTTCTTCATCTGCTCCAAGGTAAACGGACCCTGTGTCTTGCCTGCCCTCCGCTGAAGGGCAAAGCAGTGCGCGCTATAAGCGGTGCCGATGACGCGCTAGGTCTCAAGCGATTGCTCGTGCGCTGCTTCGTGCAGAGCGCTCGATCACATATTCCCAGGCATGGTGGGCATGGGCATTGAAACTCGTGTGCTCCACTGCTGGCTTCTCCTATCTGCAATTTCGTAACCGACCCCTGGCCGCTGCACCTCCTGAAACTCTTGCAACCGACCCGGGCATGCTTCCATCCTTCGCTGTGGTCTCCCTTCCCCAGCTATCACTGCCACGTCCTCCCTTGCTTATTCCCTCCCGAGCTTTCCGCTACCTTCTGACCCCCCAGCAAACGGGAGGACGAGGATAAGAACGAGGAAGACACGGAGGACGTGGAGGACGAGGAAGACAAGGAGGACGAAGAGAAAGAGAAACTGGTCTCCCCTGGCAGACGGTCGGCGAACGCGAGCGGCAGCGTGGCCCCCACCTTTCGGGTCGACGTACTCCCAACCCTTCGCGGGGATGTCCTTCTTGGAGTCGCCGTACAGATTCACAGGCTGCTGTGACACCTTCCGCACGCCGCTAGAGGTGCGCCGAGACGAGGAGGTAGAGAGGGAGAAGGAGAAGGAGGAGGAGGAGGAGGAGGAAGGATTCGGGCACGATGAACGAGAAAGCCTGGGCTGCCGGAGCGAAAGAAACACGTCTTTCTTTCTTTCTTTCTCTCTCTGGCTCTCTCTCTCTCTCTCTCTCTATCGCTCTCTCTCTCTCTCTCTCTTCTCTCTGCCTTTCTCGACTGCGTGCACCGTCTCCCCTCCAAAGCGCTGGCTACGGCAGCGGAGCAGGCGCCCAGGATGGGCAGCCGCCATATTTTCTATACGGGTGTAAGAAATATAATGGATTGGTTCCAGCCATCAAGCTGCATTTGAAAGGACGTCCTGCTTTGACATCGGTTTGGGATCGGGTGTATCAAAAAATACATACATAAATACCTCTATACATATATATATATATACACACGGCAAGCTCGTGTCGTAACGACCCTGGCGTTGGTTTCTGACACAACGTGGATCGTTCAACCTTGAACGATCGGCGGCTTTTCGATCGCCCGATCGTTCCATGTAGGCCGATTCTGAGCCACTGGCGGCGTTCAGCCTTGAACGCCCGCGGCTGGGTCGCCGCTGGTCGACACGACGCGAACCTGCCGTACATATATCGGGCAGACGTAAGACCTGGGTACAGGGGACTCGGAAATCACCGACGAGGTCGTCAAAAAAATGACGAGGCCGAGCCTGCATTTTGACGAGGCCTCGCGCTGCAGACATCCCACGAAACTCCTCCTCGTCAGAATCCGAGGCGCGGTCGTCAAAAAACGATGGCGAACCCGAGTCCTGGCAAACCCGGGTCTTACGCTCCCCCGAATATATATATATATATATATATATATATATATATATATATAGATACATATATACATATATATATATATACATACATACTCACACGCACACAAACACTCATGTTGACATGTAGATGTAGCGCTCCCAAGTTGAAGAAAAACTAAGGGGGCGGGCGCGGGGTGGGTCGCGGATGGGTCGCAAGTGGGTGACGGGTGGGTCGCGGGGTGGGTCGCGGGTGAATCGTGGGCTGGTCGTGGGCGAGGACGACGACAACGCAAGAACACAAGCAGATTCCGCCAGACGGAGCGCCGTTCTGCCACGCACCCACGGGCAATAAACGACCGTTCAGTCCCCCCACTCTGAATTATGTTGTTATATTTTTACAAGCCGGGGGGGGGGGCGACCCCCCCTCCAGAACGGGACCCCCCGGATCCGTGGCCCTGGAAGTCCCCGTGGACATCCCTGCAAACGGTTGCGCGGGTTTCCAGAGTTTCTGGACGCCCCTGTTGGGCCCAGGCAAGAAGCCCAAATCGGTCAGGAGGACGGCCGAACGGCCCCCCGATGGCCCCAAAACCTCCCATAGACCCACCAAACGCCCGAAGACCACCCTGAAAAAAGTTCCGGCCTTTTTTTGTTGACCCATCGGGGCTCAGGAAGCTCCTGGGGGTCCCAGTTGAAGGCGGTCGACTCCTTGGTCGAGCAGTCCGAGGGCACCGTGGCGAGGGGGGGGGCCCACTGTCCGCGGGGAGCACCCACCTGCCGCACGGCAAGCAGGGCACGAGACAGCAGCGCTCCCCAACGCGGAGCCCCCACCCTCGCCAACTGTCGGGGCCCAGGCGCGCGAGTCGCGCCAGGCCTCTGAAAAGAAGAGGGGCCAACGGGAGGGACACGGAGCTACTCCGCAGGCCTCACCCCGCTGGGGCCAGGTGGCACTAGGCCAGCCCACATCTCCATCTGCAGACGGCCCCAGAGCTGGCGGCAGGCCTTGTGGCGACGGGCCTGCACACGCAACCGCGCCTCAAAGTTTTGCTGGGGCGAGCCAGGGAGGCGCAGACGGAAGGCCGAGTGTGCGCTAAGAAAGGCATCGCATAGCATAGCAGCCAGGAGGCTGGTGTCGGGCCCCAACCCGTGAGACAGAAGAAGGGAGGCTAGCCAGGGCGAACCCTCAGAAATCGTTGGAGCCCAAGGACCCATCCAAGATAAGAATAATCGATGAAGACGAGGACAATGAAGATAATGTTTCATGTCATCTAGGTCAGAGTCGGGGGCCTCGGAGTTCACGCATCCCAAGAGGCAGCCACGAGGAGGAGAATGGAAACGAGAACTCGCGCAGACACAACGGGATAGGATACGAATCACGGACAGGGGGATGCACATGCTGCACCTGGTCGCAAGGGGCTTGAGACGACGAAGGACGAAGGTGAGGGAGTCCAGGGAGGTGCCAGGGATCCAGTTGTTCACCCTTCTGAGGAGCGCCAGGATAGGGGGGTCGGCGGGAAGGAAATAATGCTTAAGCTTTTCTTGGTACTGCTTCTGAATATCCTTGCGCTCAAAAAGGATCTCCAAGTTTTTCTGGTCGACCCAGTCCTTAAACGAGAAGAGCTTGGCGGCAAAAGAGGTGGTATTCCAACCGATGATCTGTCTCTCAATGCACCAATCGTCATCAGAGAAGGTACTGTCATAGAACTGGCGCAGCCTCGGGAATTCGTCGCATCTGGCGATGCAACGGGCTCTGGAAGAGGCGGCGACGAGAGTGATGTGAGGAAACTCAATGGGGAGGCCGAGCTGGGTGAGGTTGCAACACATGTCGTAAGATAGGGCATTATTCGGGCCTGCAGTCAACAAACGCACGCAGGCCTGGTATGTCTTGATGAGCGGGATAGAGGGCGCGTGCACCTGCGACATAAAGTACAGCAGCGAGACACAGTAAGCTTTAAACAACACGATCGACTGGGCGAGCCCCAAACCAAGGTCCCTGATCTCCCTCGTCCTCTTCCGAAGCTTGATGATGTTTTCCTCCCAGGTAACCTTTTCCGCCCCCGGCCCAATCCAGACACCTAGGTATTTCAAACAGACCGCGATCTCTAGGAGCTCCAGCTGGTGGCCTAGGTCTGAGAGGAGGTCCTGGAGGGGCTCCTTGAGGTTGGGGTAGGCGAGGAGGACCTGACACTTGGGGAGGTTGAGGGCAAGGCCAATTGCAGGCTGTAACCTCCGTAAGCACTCAAATAGGGGGCCAATCCCATCAAACAGACACCGTAGGCCAAAGCAGAAGTCATCAGCATATGCAAGGGAGAGCTCAATGTGGTCGGGCAGGCGCCAGGCCAGCCACGCAAGTACCGGCTCCACCGCAAGAGTGAACAAAAGCATAGAACTGGGGTCCCCCTGGCGAACGCCTCGTTCAATGGCAAAGCTGCCCCATAGCCGACCGAACAGCGAGATCGTGGCAGTGTTATTGTCATAGAGTTCCTTGAAGAAGTTGACAACGGCACCAGGGACCTTCATTTTCTCCAGGACGTGAAGGACCCAGGGGACAAAGATCGAAAGGAAGGCGGACTCAAAGTCCGTTAGGACCAATCCAGACGTGTACCGATCTTTAATGTGCTTCTGAAGGATGAACAGCTCAGCTTCGATAACATTCACAATCATGCCCCGTCCCCTGAAACATTTTTGCGGGGACCGCAACAGGTTCGATAACGCAACTTTCTTGGATAATGCCCAAGTCATAGAAGAAGAGAGAAGCTTGCAATCCGTGTTCGTCATGCTAAGCGGTCGCGTGACCTGCGGCTTCCTAAAGACACCCTCCCCGACCTCCTGTTCAGTGATTTTCTTAGGGAAGAAAATCATGATGGCATTTTTCATGTCGTCGGGGAGGTTCGAGGTCGGGTGAGTGAACAGGCGGCAATAGCAGTCGTACAGGGCGTTCTTGGCAGCAGGTACCTTCCAGGCAGAGTAGGGAATGCCGTCCTCCCCAGGCATGCTGCCCATCTTACGGCGTACTAAGTCATCCCACTCAACCTCTCCCAATATCCATCCTTCCTCTTGAAGCTCGTTAAAAGTGGCGTCGGCAGGGACAGAAAGCGGCTGGATGAGACGAGAGAGCTCAGGCCAAAGCGAGGTGTCCACCTCGGTGGCTGCAAAGACCCCCTTCCAGTGCTGCAGAAGTGAGTCAGCGGCTTCAGCCTCTGCAGAACTCGGGGTGTCCTTTTCCGAGAGGGTGCCTTGGAGCCAGGTGCGACGCTTCATTTTCCTCCAGAGCTCTTTACGGTTATTGACCTTTTTGCGGGCGCTGCCAAGGGCCTCCTCAGGGATATTCGCAGCGCCTGCCTCGAGCTCACGCTCTTCTTCCTCTAGCAAAGTGAGGTGCAGATTCTGAGCATGCTGACAGAGAGCGAGAATGCGGGCATCGTGAAGATCAGGGGATGGAACATCAGCGGCAAGAGCAAGATAAGAACGAACAGCGAGTCGCACGCGTAACTCGTCATGAGCGCGCCACGCTCGGAGGGCTTGGAGGGTCCTGAAATGCTTGGCCTCCGTCGTCTCCGCCGGCTGGGCTGCGAGTTGTGACCGAACCTCTTCAGCAACTTCAAACATCAGGTCCTTGACGCGGCCCAGGCGGTCCCAGGGAGTCAGGCCCAGGTCAAAGAGGGCGGAAATCGCGGGTTCCAGGATGCTCTGAAAGAGGGGGTGACGAGCCAGCCACTTCGGGGGCTTCTTGGGGGCCTCCTGGGGCTTGAAGGTGCTGACGGTCACAACGACGGGGATGTGGTCCGAGACCATGTTCGACTGTAGCCGTCCAAGAGTTTCCCCACTGATAGTGAGATCAGCAAGCAGAGCAGGTGGCAGCGTGCAGTATGCTCGATCAAGACGTGCAGTGTGAACAATCGTGCCCTCCCTGACCTCCCGCCTCGTGTCCTCGGATTGGTAAAGTTCTGTCCACTGAGTGCTATGCCGAAAGAAAAGCTTCGTGTGTGAGTCATCACCCGAGGACCGTCCACTGCCGTCGGCTCTCAGACGACCGTCAGCGGACAGCGCAAAGTTCCAGTCACCAATCAGAACAGTAGTGCATGCCGTGGGAGAGGGGAGGGAGACGAGGATGCCACGCAGGGCTCTGGCATAAATGTTGAGAAGGTCGCTAGCATTTGGCATGTGAACGTTTACGATGCAGAGATCAC